GGGTTAACGGGGTGATAATTTCTTCCCTATTTTGTTTCTTCCCTGCCTCTATACTAAAGTTATGGTCTGTAAGAAATTTGAAGCCCTACAAAAGGTTGGGAATTTTTAAAGTAGTAGATCAGACCATCCATTGAGTGGCTTAGACTCGGTGCAACTGTGTAGTGATGTTTGCAGTGATTCAGAAATCACCGTAGTGCCTACTCGGAATGAAAGCACACAAAGGCAGGCCTGCAAGGCAAGGCCCAGGGTTGGAAGGCAGCTTCCAATGCAGTTCTGGTGTTTTCCCTCATCACAGCAACCCTGGACTTCCTCAGTGGTCTCCCATCCAAATACTAACCAGGACCGATGCTGCTCAGCTTCCAAGATTTGATGAAATCAGGCTAGCCTGGGCCTTTCTAGAGCCAGTTTGGTGTAGTGGTTAAGTGCGTGGACTCTAACCTGGGAGAACCGGGTTTGATTCCCCACTCCTCCACTCACACCTGCTGGATGACCTTGGGCAAGCTGTAGTTCTGTCAGAGGTGTTCTTGAAAAAGAGCACTTTCTGTCAGAGCTCTCTCAGCCCCACCTACCTCACAGGGGAAGTGGGAAGGAGTTTGTAAGCCGCTCTGAGACTCTGACTGAAGGGTGGGGTATAAATCCAACCTCTTCTCTTCTTCTTCTCTTTCAGGTCAGGGCACAATAAGGAGAAGATGGTGGTTTCTGAAAATCTGGAATGCAGAATTTGCTGAAATAAATCCTTGGGTGCCATTTTTTTAACATTCATTTGGAAAGAAAGAAAATTAGTAGTTGATATTTCTCTGATGTTTGGGATCCCTTCTGTATGGTGACGGCAAACGACCTGGAAATGTGATTCTCTTGTGGGAGCCACAGTGTATTGGCTCAATGTTCAGCAAATTGGCTCTCTTTATTTGTAATTAGTGAAGGCAGTATTATATATTAATAGATTACCTCCTTGCAGCATGGGTCAGCAGTTAGGATGGAACTAGATTAGATGGGAGACACAATGCTAGCACTGAAAAGGCATCTCTGTGTCAAGTTCTTCTCTCCCCATTGACACTGTGTAGTAGACACTCTTGGCCCCCACTCCTGCCACAATGTGAGAATGATAATAGAAGAAAGGTCGGGAAAAGGCTGGATGTCATCACTAGTCCACACCATGTAGTACTTATCACATGTTTAAGAGAAAGAAGTGGAGAACTTGATACAGGGATGCCATTTTCAGTGATATAGGCTTACCTTTCCACCCTTAGCACTTACTCTTGCCATTTGGACCACGAGCTGGATTCAAATTGGTGCAATCCCACTAAAGTTCATGAAACGTCACCAACTTAAAGCAAAGTTGTAAAAGGGACTGGAGTAGACAGAGAAACAAGGAACAAGGCTGAGAGTTCATTAGATCTTCTAGATCCCTATGCGTTTCACTGAATGCTTCATCAGGGGATCTTGTATAAAGACTTCCAACTGTTCCAATTGTATAATAAACTTCCAATTGTTCAAGGTGGGAGCCCCGATGAAGCATTTAGCAAAATGCATAGGGATCTAGAAAAGCTAATAAAACTCCCAACATGGCAACTTGTTCCTTTTTCCTCTTACCCACTGCTGCAGCCTTCTCTTCTTCCTGTAGGCAGAGAAACCCCAGCTATAAATAGACAATTTCCAGGGCTCTCTGTAGTCAATGCTTGTCCAAACAAGGTACGTACCAAGTTAAAAAAAAATCCCGTGTGATATTCTGTATGACACAAATTAAGTCTATAGTTACATTAAAATACATATTTTGGTTGGACTGATGTTGTATTTTATGTCTTCTTGATTGGAACTCCATGCTATATTGGTAAAGGAACACTGAACTGCTGAGAGAATTCATTTTTAATGGACAGGGTTAGCCCAGTGTCACTAAATTGATTCCTAACCTTTTTTATTTTAGACTGCTGCTTGTTTAGGCTTCTGGCCAATGTAGCTAGCTGGAAGTCAAATAAATCGTTTCTCTTGCCTTTATTGTCACTTTCTAACCAACTGTGGGGAGTCCATCCTCAGCTCTTCCGCATTCTCATTTTTGTCACTCGTGTGTCCCTGTTGCTTTGGGTCTCCCCCCCTTTTCCACATGTGTTTTGCTTCCTCTGGGACTATTACAGAGAGCAAAGCACAAATGGGGGGGGGGAAATCCGGAAGCAATAGGAGCACACAAGTGATGAAGATCAGAATGAGGAAGAGGGAGGAAGACACACAAGCATCGAACCCTTTGTGGAGAAGGAAGGACGCAATGAAATTATGTTACTGAAAAGGCAATGTATTTTAAAATGTCATTACACTGGGCAATTCTGTCCTACTTTCTTCTCTGAAGGCATTTCAACGCAGAAGCAGAATCTGATCCCTCCTGTTTTGAGACTATTTTGCATTGGTGACAAATGACTCCCCACCTAATCTAGCAGGGGGAACACAGATTTATCTCTGCAAAATCAAGCCGCTGTAGTGCATGTCTAACCAAGGCCCTTCCCCTTTACTCCATCCTGTACCTTCCATACAGTTGAGGAGGGGGAAGGATGTGCAGGGATCCCTGTTTCCTCTGTTCACTGAGAAAGAAGGTGGTGGGAAACCTGATCTCTAAACCAGGCTGATTTGCAGCACTCCTGTGACCATTTACTCCTGATTAAATCCCACCAAAATCAACAGAATGTGCACACAAAACTCATAATGGGAACTTTTTGCTGAACTGTCGGTGCTGTTTCTACTCTTATAGATGACGTTGGTTTTAGCTTCAGTTGAACCCATGAAGCTGTCTTTCACCTTTTGTCTATCAAAATCAGCACTGTTTCCTCTGACAGGAAGAAGGTCTCCAGGACCTCAGCCCTTCACGTCACCTGTGACCCAGTCCTTTAAGCAGAAGAGCCTGCTGAATGAACTCGAGACCCAGTGCATGCCGAGCAGATGTTCCACCACTGAGCCACAATCCCTCTCCTTAATGAGGACACATGAAGCTGCTTTATACCAGGTTAGACTGTTAGTCCACCAAAGTCACTATTGTCCATTGCAGGTTCTCAGGCAGAGGTCTTTCACATCACTTACTAACTGGTCCTTTTTACAGCTGGAGAGGCTGGGCATTGAACCTGGGACCTTACACATGCAGAACAGGAGGTCCATCACTTAGCCATGGCCCCTCCACCAGTATGCTTTAAATGCCTTTTTGCTGGAAATCACTTTGAGCAACTTGGGAAAGTGGTCTACAAACATAAATAACAAAGAAATGCATGCAACAGAACCTGGGATCTTCTTTGGGAAAGAGAGATCTGGAGGATAGAGGTGTGTGTGTGGGGGTGGGGGTGCTTATCCCTTCCCACATATACCATTTCCCTGCTGCAAGTCCTTCCTCCCCACCATGGGAATGCAGAGGTGTTTTGAATGAAAACAGAACTCTGGAACCAAAACATTAGTGTGCAGATAAAAGGAAGTTTTTTTCCTCTGCTTCTCTGCTCCAAATCAGCCCTGGCAAAAATAGTAGAAGCCATTGTTGTTGTGTGTAGGATGAACTCAGTGGAGGGAAGGCAGCATGGTATAACCCAGTCTAATCAGATCTCAGAAACGAAGCAGAGTCGGTACTTGGAAGGGAGACCACCAAGGAAGACTCTGCAGAAAGAGGCCAGGGCCAACCACCTCTGCTTCTCGCTTGCCTTGAAAGCCCCTTGCTGGGGTTGCCATAAGTCAGCTGTGACTCGACAGCACTTACAAACGCACAAACACACACGGGATGAATTCAACGAGTACAGTCCACACAGTGGTGGGAAGAGATGTGCTTTTCCCAGGAACACCTTTCACTTGTGCATGAGTGTGCCCCAATAATTGCAGGAAACTCTGACACAGCGATGTCCTGAGCAGCCAAACCTGGCTTAGGGACTGTGACTCAGTGGCAGAGCACCTGCTTTGCATTGGGAAGGTCCCAGGTTCAATCTCTGGCATCTCCAGTTTAAAAACAAAACACATAGTAGGTGATAGGAAAGATCTCTCCCTGGGTCCCTGGAGAGCTGCTGCCAGCCAGAGTAGACAATGAAAACCTTGACAGACAAAGGGTCTGACTCAGTATGAGGCCGCTTCCCAATGTTCACGTGCTTATCAGCTGTTAAGCGTGAGGCCGCTTCCCATGTTCACGTGCTTATCAGCTGTTAAGCGAGGAGGGTGTCTTTCAAAAAGAGGGGAAAGAAAGTCTTCAGCTTTTCCTTTGGGAGTTACATGGAGAGGAGCTGTGCATCTGCCATTAGCCTTGTGATGCTCACAGCCCTGCACCCACTCCCACTGAATGCCAACAAGTGGTCGCAAAGTGGTGATATTTGACTTCCCTTCTTTCTCACATCAAGCAACACAGAAGTGAAGTGTTCCCTCTGAAGTGGGAGGAATAGGATTGTCTTTGCCTGCCGCCCACAAAGCCCTCCGCTCAGCGCAGCTTAGGAAGGTCTTCAGAAACTTTGTGCTGACAAATCAAAACTCACAGAACAGAAAACGCAAACCCGAAGGCAACCGTTCAGTTAATACCACTCAACTTAGCCGTGTCTTTTGTTCAACCTATTGTGGAGAGAGATGTCATTGACCCAGTGCCCTCGAAAACCCAGACGCCTGCCTGGAGAGGCAAATCACCCTCATTTGAACCCAGGGGAATACAGATCCAGTGACACATCCCCTCTTTGCATTTGGAGTCAAGGGGGACGGTGGCTCGCCAAGGAGGAGAGCTAGGAAACAGAAAGCCTGCCCTCCCCCTGTCTGCTGAAACCTGCCCTTTTCTCCCAGACATTATTGACACTCATCAGCATCTGCCAACCTGTGTGGAACTTGCTTACAGAAGCAATCCGCAAAAAAAAAGAAGAAGAAGAAAAGAAGAAGGGAACAAAGATACTTTTCAATCCCTATCTAGAGAGGTTTGCTTGTCTGCCAACCTCCCAGGGATGCAAAGGACATGACAGCCCCCCCCCCAAAAAAAAGAGTAAAAAAAATCCGAAACAATAAAAGAATCTTACCTTAAAGGAATAATAAAAAGATTCCCACTCCTCTTCTTCCAGCACTTCCGTGAAAGTCAGCGTTTCCGTGCAAGTTACCAGAGTAGCATCCAGCCTGTCCATGCCTCCGTTCCGGCTGCTGCTGGCTTCTGTGACACCGTCTTGCATGGCTTGTTGCTCCTCGGCAAACTGCTGTGCTTCTTCTTGCAAGAGAGAGCGAGCGAGTGCAGGCAGGCTCTCCTCGGAGGAGCACGGCAATAGAGGCAGCTCCACTGTTCCACGACTGGCTTAGTGGAGGCATCAGGCTCCAAAGCAACTGAGCAGAACCATCCAGGCTGGAATCCTTCTTTCCACCCCACACTCCCCACCCCTCAAAAAAAGACAACCCTTCTGCTTGCCAACAGAAGTCACTGGCCAGGTGCTTCTCTTTGACAGCCTCAGCCAATAACCATGGAACGCGCCTGGCGTCATCTTTGCACCTGTGCAAAATGCTAGATCGCTGAACATCCAAGGTGCCAACTGGCAAAGCCAACATCGCCTTCTTTACAAAGTAATCCACATGCAGCACAGCCAGCCTATACAATGGTGCACCTTCTTCCCTGACTAGCCGACTGCATTTTCAAGATCCAAAGGTGCTTCTCTGCCATAGGTCAGGAGCAAAGGTCACTGCCACCCATAGGAATCTACTCTGTTCAGCCTTTCCTCTGTGACTGGTTCAGTCATGCTCGCCTATGACTGCCTCTTGTCTGTATTTTGCCAAGGGTAAAAGAGTACGCAAGGCTGGGGTCATGGCTCAGTGACAGTACGTCTGCTTTACATGCAGAAGGTCCCAGGTTCAGAGTCTGGTATAGGCACATAAAATGATCAGGGAAGAGCAGTGTAGAAAGTCTGTCCTTAGTATTTTTATTTTCTTAAAATTCAATAAAAATGTAACCGGGGGAGGGGGAAGCTAGTGATATGAAAGACCCCTTCCTGAGACCCTGGAGAGCTGCTGCCAGTCAGAGTAGACAATGCTGGCTTTGATGGACCCAGTTCTGTTGATTACACTGACTCTGCCCGTGGCTCGCGCTCTTCCCCAAGGAACACTGCCAGCTTTTCTGCCCATGAAAAAGGAGGGGAGATTACCCAGAGAGGCTATGCTGAAAATCACAAGACCTGTGCCTACAAAAGCCATGTGGGACATGGGCTGTAGTACAGATGTGAACTGGATGAGAGCCAGTTGGGTGCAGTTGTTAGGAGCAGTGGACTGTACTCTGGGAGAACCAGGTTTGAGGGCCTGGCGGGATCTAGTCCATGGGGTCGCGAAGAGTCGGACTCGACTGTGCGACTGAACAACAAGGCTACAAGAAAGGACTTCAGACTTGTTCATGCACCTGAAGAAATTACCAAGGTAAACATACGGAATTAGATTTTCAATAAACTTCTCAGGTGGGGCAGAGTAGCACTGTGTATTCCACTCCCTGTTCCCTAGGTATGGCTGTGAACTAACAGAGCTTTAATTGTTTCTATTTTTTTAGGGGGAACAGATCCCTTCACTAGAATCCTGCAGGTACATGTTATGTCTGGGCGCTCCAACTGGCCTGGCTGGATGAAACCACAGCTGGGATGGATACTGTACAGAGCCACTGATGGGTGGGTGTGGTTTAGCCCTGCAGCTCGCTGGCCCAATAGGGAGAGACGGTCTGGTGAGAGAGGGAGAGTAACGCCCAGCCGGAGAAGACTCAAGACGTCTGGAAGAGAGGGAAGCTTCAGCCAGGGGTAGTTTTGTAGAAAAAGAGCTAGGGGAACTCATTAGCATAACTAATTAGCATATGCCACACCCCCTGAAGGTAACAAGGAGACGGCTGCACTTGCAGAAAGAAATGGAGCTTTAGCTGTTTATACCTACAAGTGTGACTGCGGCAAACGGGAAGAAGTTTATGCAGTGGCAGATCTGGTAAAAAAAACATACTTTGATTATGAATTAAATGAGCTTTATATAATGATAATCATTGCAGCTACTAATGGATTAGAATTATGAAAATATCCCCTCCCCCCGCACCTCACTTGGGGAACCGCGATCCCCCGCGATCCCCCCCGAATCGACCTCTGGCTTCAGCCATGCCCAGAGAAGGGGAAGAGAGGCCAACAGGAGGGGCGGGGGACAGCAAGCAGCCCCGCAGCCCTTTCCTTGTGCCAAGGGAACATCAGCAAGGAAGGCACGCCAGCGTGAAAGAAGATCTCTGGTGGAAGATCGAGGAGCAGAGGGGGCCTATCATGGAAACAAGCAGTAGTGTGGGTAAGGGCTGAGGAGGAAAGGGTAAAGTCAAAGATCTATAAAAAGGGATCCAGGAGGACTTGTCTGAGATGGGCTTGCCAACCTCCAGATGGTGCCGGGAGATCTCCAGACTACAGAGATCAGTTCCCCAGTTAGGGTTGCCAGTTCCAGGGTAGGAAATGCCTAGAGATTTGGAGTAGAGATGAGGGGGGGGACAAACAGGGTGTAATGCCACAGAATCCACCCCCCAGAGCCCCCGTTTTCTCTGGGGAATGGATCTCTGCCATCTGAAGATCAGCTGTAATTTGGGGAGATCTCAGGGCACCTCCTGGAGGTTGGCAACTCCAGCTGCCAGATGAGCCTTGACGATCATTTCATTTAAGGCAGTTGTATTAGGACTGCCTTTTGCTTGATTTAGCTTTTATTATTGGACAGTCCAATTTGGAGTTTTAAAACCGTGGCTTTTATGGGTTTTATAATTGTTTGCTTTAATTGTGTCTTTATAATGTTTTACTTCTATCGTAAACTGCCTTGAATTCCACCAGGGAGAAAGGCAGCTAATAAATGTTTTAAGTAAATATATATTTTTGAATAAATAAATTTCCCTCAAGAAAACGACTGTTTTGGAGCTATTATTATGGCATTAGGCCTCACTGACATCCCTCCCCAGGCTCCATCGCCCAATCTCCAGAGGTTTTCTGCCCGGGAGTTGGCAACTGTAGCTGAGCCATGACCATCCTAAGGGTGACGTCAGTTCTTCTGGGAAGCACTGCAAGGTTTGTTTAAAAGTTCCAAAATCTCTGGGCAAGTCACAGAGCAATACACATTCCACAAATGAGGTCACAGAATTTACTGCAATGGGAAATTGCCACATTCAAGACAAAGGCTCCTTCTGCTGGAAGAAGGCCTGACATTCACCTGAGCCTAGGGTTGCCAACTCTGGTTTGGGGAAAACCTGGAGATGTGGGGGTGGAGCCTGGGGAGGGCAGGGTTTGGAGGGGGGAAGGACCTCAGTAGGGCATGTGTTAATCACTCTTTGGGTGAAGAAGTACTTCCTTTTATCTGTTCTAACCTGACCGCTCAGCAATTTCATGGAGTACCCACGAGTTCTTGTATTGTGAGAAAGGGAAAAAAGTACTTCTTTCTCTACCTGCTCTACCCCATGCATAATCTTATAAACAATGTTCCCTCTAAGCTGAAAGAGAAGATATAATATTAAATGAGATGCCAGCAGGCTAAAAACAAATTAAACTAGTAGCATCCGCTAAAATCAAATAATTATCTGTTTAGAAAACATTTATGCCACCTCTCCGGAGAACCCGCTAGAGGCAGCTTATGAAGTAAAACATGAGAAACATAATACAACAGCATAAAAAACATTAACATTAACAAACTACTAAAAACTTGCCCATCAAAAGTGCATCCAGAACATAAAGCAGCATCAGTTTATCTGCCCCCAAATGATCTTTCAGAGATAGTAGCTGAAAATCTCACTTTTCAGCACAAAGGTGTCCTCTTACAGATTGCACCTGTTCTTTGGTGATGGAAAACATATTATGCTGGAAACATCATTGTGCTAATGTCCATCCTTAGATTGAATCCAGCCACACCGAACACCCTAGTGCCCAGCAATTCATTACAGTACTATCAGCTCTGCAAGCAGGACACTTCTATGAACTTTTCACCTGCAAATTCATAAAAGTGCCATTATTCAATAAAAGTTTAGAGAGAAGGCTGAAGCCAATGGTGTTTTTTGGCAGATAGTTGGAAACACCTCTCATTTAATGATATCTCTCACTGCATCTTCGGCTACCTCTGTGTTGTATACTGAGAATTACATCAGCGCTAGCGAGGCTATGTGGTCTAGCACAACTTTGGGTGCTAGAACAATAGAGGAATCGGATCCTAAGGCAGACCAATTGGAGTGCTTGGATTCTAGAGGAGACCTATGATGGACTCCTCCACTGGAAATAGCCTATCACTGGTGTTGGGGCATGTGTTGGGTGTGGAGTACTGCAGGGATATAAGCGGGGCTCGGACCTCGCTAGTTTGTCTTTCGTTTTGCTTGCTTAAATAAACGTGAGCTGATCACTACTCAGTGCTTCCGAATTCAATACTTTACACTCTAGAACAACAGCATTTTGGAATCTAAAAGTATTTTCCTCTCCATTGCATACCATAATTTGATTAATCAATAATGTAATTTCACTAATGAACTTCAAAAATGATCTTTATACAGGACTGGAAATAGAAGCCTACCTGTGCTTCTGTCATATTGGATAAAAATAAGGCCAAGACCAATGGTGCAAAATCAGGTAAAAATATACTTTATTACCAGAATATAGTAAAGTTCTTCCAGTGACAATTACCTACTGATCTTTTACACTTTTCAAAGAGCTACTGCAAGACGAACAGGTTGGTAACATTAATTTAGGCACAGTAAAAAGATTTCTTTAATTTTGAGCCAAAACCCTTTGGGTGCTAGACAGCCTTATCTTATCTCTGTTCTTTCCGAGAAGTTTCTCTTCCTCATACAATCTCAAGGACAGAATAAACTCTAGTGGTTTTGTATGTGACTGATACTGTAGGACTTGGATTTTAACTTTTAATACAATATCTTATTTATATAATGTTAACTATATTTATGTAAACTCAGTGTCATTATTATATATTACAGATTCCCCTGACGAAGCCTGTTGGTGAAACGCGTAGGGAATTTTTGGAAATTTAATTGAGTAATAAAGTATGTTTTTATCTGATTTTGCACCATCGGACTTGGCCCTATTTTTATCTCCTGTGACTGGTGCAGCTCTATATTTTCTTGTTTCTTCTCTCACAATGGACAGAATTTGGCAACAGTTGCAACTAAGGCTGCCTTCCTATGCACACTTCCCTGGAAGTGAAGAACCCT